AATTTGTCTACCCGACCCGACTTTTCAGGTCGGGTCAGGTCGGGTCACAGGTTGACCTGACCTGATTCGGAGCTCTAATTTTTGCAGATATTGTACACATAGTTTTCCCTCAGAAAAATCTTTAGACTATCATTAAGAACATTGTTTCGGGTTAGAAGAGGCGACACAAAAAGTATATCTACTAGTGAAAGGAGTCAATGATTTTAAGTAGTTCAAAAACTATGGCTGAATGATTAATGCCACATGTGTAATTATAATTGATTTCGAAGCTGATAATAAGAAGTGTGATAAAGTATATAGTGGAAGCATGTGTAAGCTTACTGAACAGAAGGCTAATAGTTTCTGCTACCTAGTCTACTGAATTAATATTGGAGATGTATGGGTCCTTTTCTATATAGAGGAGAAAATGCTACACAAAAATTCATTCAGAGAATTGATCAGGAGCTGGTTGGTATTAATGAGGTCTTAGCCATTAAAGCTGATCGAATTGAGACTGCTGAAGATAAGAAAAAATTTGCTGAGGCAATTAGCTGTTGGATTTGCAAAGACAAGTTTGATATAAATATAGAGGAAATTGAGCGACTAGAAAATAAAATAATCAGTCTTAAAAAGAAACTGGTAGTGTTTAAAAAAGAATCTGCAAAAAATAATGAAATCCTAATAACTATTGATAAAATGACCAAGACAATTGCTAGTGAAAAAGCTAATGCTAATAAGGTTTGGGACTACTGTCATATCACAGGTAAGTTTCAAGGATCAGCTCATAATGTCTGTAATCTCAAACTTCAGATTGAGCTATGAAAACCCTATTCCAGTAATCCTCCATAACTTTTGGGACTATGACTCTTACTTAGTCTGTGAATCTGTCAGACAATCTGTCAATATGCATCAGATCAAAGTCATAGCTGCAACTTTTGAGTGATATAAATCTATGAAGATAGGTCAGCTTAAATATATAGATAGCATGCAGTTTATGAACACTAGCCTGGCCAATCTTACGAAAATCTTGGGTGATAACCATCCAATAACAAGCCAACACTTTAAGAATCAAGGCTATTTAAATAGAAAAATTTTACTAGTATGTCACAAGGAAGTTTATCCCTATGAGTATATCGATTCTTATGATAGTTTAAGAAAACAAAGCTTCCTTCGATTCATGAATTTCATGGGATTCTAAGTGGTAAGATCTCACAAGATGATTATCATTATACCCAAAAAGTATGAAACACTTTTGGATATAAAAACTTAGGTGAGTATTATGATTTCTATCTCGAGACTGATATACTCAGCTTTGCTGATGTCTTGACACAGCTTCAAAAAATGTCTATGGAATATGATGGGCTTGATCCTAATTATTATGTCTCTCTTCCATCATATTTCTGAGACGTCATACTTAAAATGACCGGAGTAAATATTAAGCTTTTCTCAGATATGAATAAGCATGATTTTATAGAAAAAGCTAAACGTAAAGAAATATCTATGGCCTGTCAAAGATACTTCCAAGCCAATAATCCTAAGATGGAAAAGGGCTTTAACCCATCTCAACTAATAACCTGGAAGTCATATATTGATGTAACAAACCTTTATGGCTACACAATAAGTCAGTACTTACCTATTGAAAATTATCAATGAGAAGCTAGTCAGGAATATTTACTTAAGAATCCAGCTATGCAAAAGAAATATCTTGATATAGCTTTAAGAATTAAGCAAGATTCAAAACGAGGATTTTTTCTAAACATTAATGCTCATTTTTCTCTAAAAACTCATGACTATTTGAGTTATTTGCCCTAGCTGTAGGGAATGTTGCTGTAGGAAAATATGTTATATTCATATAATGCTGAGCTTGTAGAGAAATTGTATGGAAAACGCTTCTCAGCAACAAAAAATTAGTTTCCCATCTTAGATCACGAAAGAATTATGTTATTTATTACTTGGAGCTTCAATACTATATGGAATTAGGTATGGTTGTAGATGAGGTTTTAGAAATCCTATCATTTGACCAAACTAACTAGCTAGCTTCCTATATAGCATTTAATACTGAGAAATGTAATGAGGCTAAAAAAGCTGGGAACGTATTTTTGAGTGACTTGTTCAAGTTTAAGAATAATGCAATATTTGGCAAGATTATGGAAAATGTTCGCAAGTATCAAGATGTTAAGCTCATAAAGATGAATAATGAGTGAAATGAAAAGGCTTTCATAAATAAGATTCACAAGTCATCCTTCAAATATGAAAGATAGCTTGGAGATACACTAGTAGGAGCTCATATGAGAAAAGCTAGTATGACTTTATATAAGCCTATCATAGTGATGAAGTGGTTTTAGGTCTTAGCAAACTTCATATATACGAATTCTGATATGGTTATGCAAAAGAAAAATATGGTGATAAGAACAAACTTAGATATATGGATACAGATTCCTTTATATACACTACTTGGACAAAAGTAGGCAGACATCATATTTTATATATTACTCCAAAACATACTTAATGATTTGGGCTGAAATTTTAACACGTGATAATATATGTTATAAATAAACAATGACGTAATTGTTATTTTATTTATAAACAACTATCAAATGTGATCAACAAAATTAGAATTTGTACTACATCGCACTATGTATGATTTAACAGAAGTTGAACGCAACCAGATTATTAGTCTATTTAAAGTTGACACCACTAGAAAAAAAATTATTAAATTGCTCGGCTTTTCTAGAACAGCAGTTTATCGAACTATTCAAATCTTTTGTGAAGAAAAAAGTCTTGAAACTCAGTCTCGAAGTGGTTGTCCTAAACTTTTAAATTGCGAACACTAAAAAACATTAAAAAAAATTGTCAAAACAAATAATCGTCAATCGGCTGAACAAATAGAAAATAATTTTCAAGAGAAAACTGAACTGCAAGTTTCTACCAAGACTATAAGGAGAAATTTGCATGAACTTAATATTTTTTTACGTATTCCAGCATTCAAACCTCTTCTTAATGATAAACAAAGAGAAAATCGTTTAAACTGGTATATTGAAAGGAAAGACTGGTCTGTTAGAAAATGAAAGTCAGTTATTTGGAGTGATGAAAGCCACTTTACTATATTTAAAAATGATGGTCCAGGTTGTGTTTAGAGAACTTCTAGAACAAGATTTAATATTCAAAACATGGCTCCTTCAATAAAACATGGTGGTGGAGGTGTAATGATATGGGGTTGTTTTTCAGGAAAGGGAATAGGATCACTTGTAAAAGTTAATGGAAAAATGAACTATCGTGACTATATTCAAATACTTGAAACACATTTGCTTCCTTTTATTAATAATAATTATAATGGACGAGAGTATTTATTCTAAGATGACAATGCTTCAGTCAATATCGCTAAAAACGTTAAAAAATGGATAGAAGCAAAAAAAGTTAAAATTTTGAAAAATTGGCCAAGTCAATCACCTGACTTTAATCCAATCGAACATCTATGATCAGAGTTGGAAAGACGCATTAGAAAATGTTCTAAACCTGCAAAAAATGTAAAGGAATTGGAGTGTGCTTTGCATGAAGAATGGAATCAAATTCCTAATAATAAGTTAATTAATTTAATTAAAAGTATGTCACGCAGGGTTGAGGCATATATTAAGAATAATGGTTGGCCAACTAAATATTAGTTTTGTATATGGTTTAATTAATAATAGTTAAAATTTTGACTCCACTTATTGTGTACGTTTTTGAGTAATTAATAAATATGATGTTCGCCTACTTTTGTCCAAGTAGTGTATGTTGCTATTCTAAAAAATCATGGCATTCTTTTAGGTGAAAACGATGCCCTTCTTTTTTACATGCATTATTTAAGGATTTAGGATTAGAATAATACCTAGTTGGATGATAATATATATCATATAATATAATATTTTTTTCGATTTTCTGAGCCTCATCTGGATCTATTATAATTTGCAGTTGACTTATTCTTGAAACAAGATTATTACAATGATACTATAACTTAGGATAAAATATCATGTATAATCCAGCATATTCACAGCTTTTAGATACGAACTAGAAGCTTTATAGTGAGCTTTAAGATAAAGTTTCTTTTAATAAGAGTAATTAGAAAAAAATTCTATCTCTGGTAAAAGAGCTTGAATAATGTTATAAAATAATATTCTATTAAGATTCTACAATCCTAACTCATAAACAGAAGATAAAAAAATTTAAATCAGAAATATCTGATTTGTGAAAACAGCTTAGGGTTTTATAATAAGATAAAAAATTCAAAGATGAGATTGAGTCTATTCAAGATGGTCAAATCATAGAGCTCAAAAATAAGGTTGGAAACCTAATCAGGATTCTTATAGATAAAAAAATCTCAATAAATGCCTTAGATATGGCAACAGCTAATCTTATTGTAAATGTTAATAAAGGATTAGAGCAGATAAAAAATTATATTAGAGTGGCTGATACGCCTATGCAGAATTCCACTAATATTATAGATAGAATCAGAGGTTCGTTAAATACTATTCAGTTTCTTTATAAAATGTTATAGCTGAGCATGATTAATATCAGAACATATTATACATCTGGAATTTAAATGTGACGTAATATTTCGTAGATTTACGATTTTTGTAATATTTCAGAGTATTACGTTGTAAAACTACGTAAGTTTACGAGTTCGTAAGATTTA